TGTGTGTGGGCACTTTGATGTCTTGAAATAAGCATTTGCCGCATGACGCCAACATTTAAATCTTTAAAAAGCTTTCTGAATAATTTCCTAAAACGTAATCATAAATAATCCAATAGGGAACAGATTTTTATTTTGATTCAATATCAAAATTTCATCACAGTAAATCGAAAGCAATCAATTGTTTCAATAAACTGCCGATAAAAAGAATACAATTTTCAAAATCACAGCATAAGCGAAGCTGTTCGAATGAAAATAAAAAATTTCAAAGCGAAGCAAAAGCAAAAAGAATAGTGCTGTTGCTGCTGTTCTAACAGTTTTTCAAACCCTGGAAAAAATGAAGCAATTTTTGAGTGAATCAATTTATTATTTTTGTACAAAAAATTTATTGAAAATCACTGATATAAATCCCCACCAATATACACTTACAGGCCTATTCTGCGCTGGTAATAAAATGGTTGTAGCCGGTAAATAAAGTTTCTGTCAATTTTTAAACACATTTCGCATTCTGTTTACTCTTGTAACCGGTAAATTTTGTTGCCATCTCATAAGCTGGTAACAAAGTATTGCCCCGTGAAATATGCAATGCCAGAATTTGCACAATTCTTCATAGCTGAATTTTTGCTGAATATTTTAACTGCCTTACCCAACGTACCTAGAATCGCGGTGACAAGAACTGGTAACATTTATTGGTAATAAAATTTTCCGATTACAAAATCTTCGGTAACGTGCAGAATATACCTGTTAAAGAAAGATATGCGAAAAAAAAAAACAGAAATAGCAAACTTCAAAATTACGAATGTCAGACGCTTTTTTTCTCAAATGCTATTGCAAATGGCTCCTTCTTAACCGGTCAGATCTTTTCTAATTGGTTTATGAATAAATATGTATGTATAAAAAAGGATTATGCAGGCTTGTCTTTAATATAAACCATTCAGAAAGATAAGTGCAAAATTTGGAATAAACTATAGCGAATAAAAGTAAATACAAGTATTGGTTAGCAGTTGTATCCGGATCTGACAGAATATCCGTTGTGAGATCACCATCTACATAACAGGAGGGTCTCTGTAACAAAATTGATAAATGAGCAACTTAATGGAACACACTTGAAATTTTGTCGGGCTCAGACGTTTTTGAAGCACGACCACAGTGCTTTCGGGTTTATAGGACGAAATACCTTTAAATTTAATGGTTGCAACGGATAAATTAAATTTTTTGACTCTAAAACCGTGATCAAGAAGAGGAATAGTTCAGGTAAAAATTCAGACATCGAAAGGGGTTGCACATTCTATCAAATAAATGAACCGATTTTTTTAACATTACCCAAAATAATCCTCAGACGTGACCATAACAACTGTAAAAACCAGAATAACGAAACGAAATATTATTTTTTTCTGAACCTCAATTTAATATGTCGTGTTATATCTATGTAAGAGGAAAAGAGCGAGGTGATCTTGAAAGGTCCCTCCAACAGCCTTACGAATAGTTTTTTTTTCTATAAATTTGAAATTAGAAGATACATGGTACCCACCCTATTCACTATATTCTTTCAGAATCGAAACAATCTTCATAAGAGATGAAAACGAAGCTTCGCCGCTGTCTAATGGTGCATTTAAACAGAATGCCGAGCGGTGCCGATCGAAGAAAGGCGGAGCGAAGCGAACCTCCAGGGTTTCACACTGAACGAGGCAAATATATTTGCTCAATTTTGTTCAAAAGACTAGTGAAAAAATTCGTTCTTATTTAAATATTTTGATATTTTGTTTGCAGCAGCGCCATGAAGAAGAAAAATTAAATAGAAAACTAAAAATTAAAAACTGCTTTGCTTTCAGCCCCAAAACGTTTCTGAAAAAGCTTGCTGTATGAACACTTTCATATATGTAGCTACAGCAATTTGAAAACTTCACTCCGCTCGGCTCCGCTTTCTATGTGAACGTACCCTAAAAAATATGTAAGTACGAGATTTGAAGAAAAATAAAGTACCTATGCATGTGCGTGAAGGCATGTATGTATGTATGTAGTTCCCATTTAGTTTTAAAAAACATTGTTTATAAGGCACTTAGGTTTTGAGAACAACCGGATTTAATTCGAGATCTAAGATCTACATTTATTTGTTGTAGCCCATTGACCAATACTGTTTCTCAATTTAACGTCCATATATTTATTTTTATTTTTTAAATTGGGAACCGCCTTGTTTTAAGGTGATTGACTCAGTTTTTCCAAGCCGGTTTCAATCGGTTTCTTTGATATTTTTAGGCGGTATTTTGAAATCTTGACATTTCGAGGACCGTTTAAACCGGATTTTTACAGCTGAATAGGCCGGGCTTTCACCTGATATATCTACATACCAGAATCTAAACATTCTAAGTATTTGTTTTATTGAAAACGGAAGTACAACATTTTTATTAATTTGTTATCTGAATACTGGAAACCTTTCTACTGCAGAAAATCACTTAAAAAATAAAATGAATACCGAACGAAATTCTTTTATTGTTATTTTTTGTTTTAGTAGCAAATCTCGGTCTAAATCAGTGCATCGCTGCATGTTGTCTTCATTTTTTTCTAACGGTAGGCTCTGGGAAAGGCCAGATCCAAAGGGTTTGGGTCATGGCGAGAGATGAGCTGCCGGAAGTGGAATTAAAAAAGTTCTGTTTTACTTTTAATCCAAAATACCTCGAACTTATTTTGCCATATTGATTTCTAAATTAAAGTTAAATGATTTTGTTTTCATAAACTGCTTCGGGCAGAAGTATCTACGAAGTAACCCCTAAGTTCCTAACTTCAAGAAAACTCGCTTCTTAAAATAAGAAAACTATATTTATACCCGAGCGCACTTGTGCACAAGGGTATTCAAAACGAATCGAGACAGATCTAGACAAATGTATACAAAAAGGATCAGAATAAAAGATAAATCGATTAAGCGGTGACTGTCTGTCCGCCCGTCCGTCTGTCGGTCCGTCTGTGCACACGATAACTCGAGTAAAAATTGAGATATCTTAACGAAATTTGGTACGTGCACTTATTTCGGGCATAGGACCGATGGTATTGAAAATGGGCAAAATCGGACAATAACCACGCCTACCTCCAATATAACGGTAATTTTTAGAAATCCGAAAACTGCGATATTTTAGTAACTACTAAAAATTATTCACTCAAAATTGATATTAACAATAACTTTTAGATGAAAAATAAGTTAATAAATTTTTGGAAAATGGGCGTAGCCACGCCCACTTATGGTTACATGTGCATATCTTGGTAACGGCTGCACCGATTACTTCCAAACTTGGCACAGTTATTGGCCTTGGTATAGCATATCATATGGTCCAACATTTTTAAATCGGACAATAACCACGCCCACATCCCATATAACGGTAATTTAGGGAAATACGAAATCTTCTATAAATCAGTAAATATTAAGCTAATTCATTCAAAATTGATGCTTGCAACAATTCTCTACCAAGAAATACGTTTATGATAAAATTTTGGAAAATGGGCGTTGCACCGCCCACTTATGATCACATATATGTATCTCGGTAACCGTTCTACGAATTTGTACCAAACTCGGTATGGTTATTGTGCTTGCCACATAAAAGCAAAACGTTATTATTATTGAATCATTGAAATTTCGGCCGCTTTTCATATAACGGTAAATTTCAGAAATGCTTGAAACTTCAATATATCCAAATTTAAGGGCGCTAATTTACTCAAAATTGATACACCCCGGCTTACTACGTACCGGTAGCTTTCGGAAAGGTGAAAAACATATGTTTAATATTTGCGCCGGGTATTTAATGTTCGGCTTCGCCCGCACTTAGACTTTCTGACTTGTTTTTGAAAGAAAATCTAATTATTAAAATGTTACCTCAGACAAAATTAGGGGGTTTTTCGATAAATTTTAAATGATTTCGTTTTGACAAGAAGACATTTTCTTCGCCTGACATACCCTTTCGTCTAGCAAGTATTACCTACCTACACTGTTCGGCAGTCGGCTGAAACTAAGTATGTATTTCTGCAAGTTTGATTTGTATTATCAGTTTTCCCAGGTCGGTAATTTTAAGCGTTTTTTTTTCAATTGACGTTGGTGGTGGCAGAGCAGCTTTTAAAACAATTAAAAGTGATTACACCCAGAAAAAGTCAGCTAAATATATTTATATCTCTCAACACATGTTTTCGTAATTGGGTGTACAATCAAAATGTTTTAAAGTTTAAAATTCATATTTTCATCTTTGAATCGCAGTTTAATCGATGATTATTCATAGAATGGCGCGCCTGGTTTTTTGTACTTTCCTGATTTATTATAACCACCTTTCGATGACATTCCACAAAGTACACTGAGAAAAGAGTTTAGTTACGTCAAATAAATAAGTTTTCTTCAACCCATGATTTAGTTATAATTACATTATTTGGTTATAGTTACCAAATATTGTGTTGAGGGAAATTGATTTAGCTGACTTTTTTATGTGTGTACCTACACTGAGAAAAAAGTTTAGTTACATCAACTAAGTACCTACATATGTTTCCCGCAATACATGATTTGGTTATAGCTACATTATTTAGTTATATTTACCAAATCATGTGTTGAAAGAAATGTATGTCGCTGACTTTTTCCTGAGTGTAAAATTAGAAAGTATTGACATACATACATACATATGTTCGTTCGTAGATATTTTTGTTTGAGATTTGCTGATTTAAAACAAAATTTTTGCAGAATCTCAAAGCGAGAGTACCACATAACCAATAGCAGATCTATTGGACGATTACTGAGTTATTCAGTGATATAATCGATGATTTCTAAATGCAATTTTGAGAGTAGTTGGACTTTAAAATGCTTCGCAGTCAACCTATAGCTAACGATTTACTTTAAAGGAATTTCAATTTAAGTTAAAATTTCGAAAAATTTTATCATATTCTTATTTGGTGTTTTCACCTCAAAATGTTCTACTTGAAACTATATAGTTTTCTTAATCGAGGTAGGTACTTAAATAAATACGATTTTCACTTACATTGCACGGCAAACGCTGGTGATGATGGCATACTTTGATTTATAATATTATCCTCTTGGCCAAAACGTGATGACGACGGCACCAGGCAAGACAACATTGGAATGAGATATCTTTGTTAGTACCTACGCGTAGTTTATGCGTTTAAGATTTCTTTGCCAAAGAAAATCAGCAAAAATCGGCAAATGCGACGGCAATTTATTTTCACTTGATTTTGCTTTGAGCTAATACATTTTACATGAAATGTTTTTTGTTTCAAATTTTTTTTTGTTCTGCTTGTTTTAAGAGTTATAACCGCGTGCGGGCGCCATTGCAAGAGCGGAAGTGTTTATTAAGTATTTACATATGTGTGTGTGGGTGTTTTTTTTTTTTGAATTTTTAAAGTTTTTTATTTCGAAAAAGTTGGCGTAGATACAAATTAACCGACGACGTCTGATTTCCGTTAGAAAATGGTGGCGCGTCAAAAGAACAAAGTAACTAGGTACCCAGTGTTTTTTATGCACCTTTAGTTGACTAAATAAGCACAGTTCACCACAGTGTGTACGTAATGCATTCACACAATTTTACTTCGCTCCACAAATGTTATCAATTACTTTTTTTTATTAATTCGAGTTCACTTTTCAAATGTTGTTGTTATTTAGCAGCGGCAATGCAACCGGTTGTTTATTTATGTTATTAGGCTGACACTATACTCTTGCCATATGAAAAGCACGAAGACTGCTACTGCTTCAATTGCGTTGGGGACGCGGGTTTGAGTTATTGCAACTGCAAATTTTTACATTCAAATTATCTCCGTAACTTTTTTTACTATGTACATAATTTCAATTTACTTTGCGTTATTCACTGTTTGTTTTGCTCTTCAATAATTTTTTCTTCTCTATAATTTACTTTATTTTTTATGTGTTTTTTCATTTCCTTTCACACTTTAATTTAGAGCTTTTGAAATCCAAGTTTACAATTTGCTTTCATATGAATTTCAATCCAATTATTTTTGGGGAACAACGCGTTGTTAACCGCGCGACGTTCTAGTCGCTACTACAATTTCTTGTGATGATTTTTGTGTGGCTGTGTCGCAGGCATGCTGCCATTCTGCGTGACTGCTGGCGTCCGCAGTCGACAATCCCGTCCGATTTCCGTCAACGGCATTGTGCCAGTTGGCAGCAGCGTCGGCGCAGACGCTACCACCATTCACTGCCGTCCTGTGTGTGTGTGTGTATGTGGCGATAAGCTGAGAGCAGAATTTTTTACCACTGTGCAAAGTAATACCTGCCTGCTGAACATCCATGCATTAAAACTACCCACTGTTACAATCAGCAACTACGCCACCACCAAAAACGATAACAGCCACCACATGCTAAATACATACATACATACATATGTACATAGAACACTACCAGCCGTTTTTATCATTGCTCAGCATCTATAGACGTTGCTCTGCTAACTTTAGGTGACTTCTGCTACGACGGTGTGCTTTCCAACACATGAGAAAAACTATCTCAACAATCTTTCGATTTTCAAATTTTGCCCACTACGTAACAGCCAAATACAAGGGCTGTTCACCGTTATGTTGCGCACAGTACCGTGGCATCCGTTAATGACAAGCACACAATCGCTGCCATTGCACTCGACTGCTGCGCCTTTTACCTACGCTGTTGCTGTTTTGATTCGTTCTGTTATAGGAAACTTCCCCTGCTGCTTTGTTCTGTATACATATTTGTACTCAAGGCACATGATACCCTCACGGAAACAAGTGATATTTTTTTAAATCAACTATGTA